TAGTGACCATATAAGACAGAGTAGAACTGCCCCATAGGATTTCCAAGGCTATAAATCTTTACAGAAGCAGACTGTCACATCTTTCTCTCTCAGAACAGCTGGTGGGTTCAAACTGCCGACCTTTTGGTTAGCAGCCGAGCACTTAACCACTGCACCACCAGAGCTCCTTTAACCCAGGCTAGGACATCACTAAATATAATTCATACAGGAAAGGCAAGATAAATGCTAAATTCTTTCATTATATTGAAAATATTCAGATTACTGCCCTAATTACATCTAATAATGAACGCATGGGCTTACACATATGTAATCAATGAATTTCAATAAAGCGTTATTACTCTTTTTTGATGCTCAGACTGTCTCCTTTTTAGAGTGGGAGCTCCTTTATGCTTGTCCCTTTGTCTCTCTGACTTGCCCCATTAGACATTAGACTTTAATAGTTTCCTTGATTCTGATACAAGGTGTCCCAGGCTTGTCCTGCACACATCTTGCCCCAGACCTGAAAACTTTCATTCCTCTGAAGAGCTTTGTTCCTTTTAACGGGGACTGATGTCTTGAAAGCACAATATGAATGCTAAAGGTGCTCATTCGTAGAAGATTGCCGTTACCACTAGGACTTTTTGGTGGACAAAACAAGGAAATTATTTTTTATTTCAATAAAAGTAAAAATTATTAGGAAATCATTCTACGGGAATAATAAAACACCTTCATCAAAAAAAAGTAAAAATTATTTATTGGGATATAAAAAAACATTTTTTAAAAGAAAAAATTATATGTTCATACTATTTCTCATTCAGCTTTAATATTACACGGATTTTACCTACTCTGAAAATCATTGTTCCTAATAACTCCTGATGTAGTAACTGCAACAGTGGGCTCAGGCATGACAATGATTGTGAGGATGGCGCAGGACTGGACAGTGTTTCGTTCTGTTGTACATAGGGTCATATGAGTTGGAACCAACTCGACGGCACCTAACAACAACAACAACACTAATATTATTTATTTACTTTTCCTATACTATACAAAATAGTTTGAAAGTACTAATATCTATATTTCTACTAGCAATAAGACTACTGACTTACATTTAAAATTTCCTGAGAATATAGTCCATTATGTATGTACAGTGACAACACTATTATCTAAAGTCATTTAATTCTTTACTATGGTTATGCTACCAACTTAAGAACATTTGGTTCAGTTTTTTTCCAATTTTTAGGAATTTTTTGGATTTAATATTAGCTGGATATATAAAATATACATCACTAAAAGTAAAAACTATATAGCCAAGGTATGTTCAGAGTAATTTAGCTTCCATGCCTGTTCCCTCCACCTGTTTCCTCCCGCCCCATGTAATTAACCATTTTTAAAGATTAATTCTTGGTTTATCCTTGAAATGTTTCTTTTTTAAAATATATGCAAATACATATTTGTAGTTCCCCCTACAGCTATGATTAAAGGGCATACTATACTCTTCCGTACCTCATTTTTTATAAACTTAATATATATCCTGGCAATCACTCTACATCTGTGTAAAGAGACGGTGTCTTTCAGTGTGTGGCTTTACCTGATTTATTCCATCAGTCCCCCTGCTTGTGGTCATTTAGATGGTTTCCAGTCCTTTGCCATTGCAATTAATACTACAGTAAATAACCTTGCACATAAGACACTTTGTATTTTGGGGTGGATTCCTAGAATTAGAATTTCTTGGTCAAAGACATTACTTACACATAAATATACTTTTACTAGGAATTATCAGTTTTCCTTCCAGAAGTGCTCTGTACCATTTTCTAGTCTTACCAGCAATACGTGCCCTGCCTCTTTCCCCACTGCCTGACAACAGAGTAGGTGGTCAAACTTTTGGATTTTTGCTAATCCAATTACTTGCCTCCTTTTATCATTCTGCTCTAAGATATACCACCATGCTTTCTTCTGTTTTTGGAAGTACTCTCTGGGCACAAACAATAGGGGACAGTGTTGAGAGTGATAGAAAGAGAGTCGCTGCAGTATCCCCATCTATTTCCATTCATCTGATCATGGAAATGCCAAAGCCCAAAGCACCCACCTTCCTTGTTAAGACCTTGTATTTCCAAAGGCTGACTCACGTTTCTAGCCAAAGAAAAGGACACCAAATGTGACCTCACCTCTTTCCAAGGTCAGCAGAATGCCAACAGGCCAGTCAGTAAAGTCAACTGATACTTTACCAGCCTCGGGATCCTGAAAAAGGTAAAAAGGAATCATAACCATCTTTTGGTCAGCGTGCTGTCTTCAGAACAACCCCAATGCCAATGGGAAGACCCTGTGTATGATTAGGGGTTTCCACAGGGGTTTCCCTGCCAGGCTGCTCACACTCAGGACCTCTTGTTCTGCTGCTTTGTAGGAGTGAATGTCACGGATAGAGATAGTATAGAAGTCATTGTTTGTTTTTTCTTTTAGCATCTCCCATTTCCCTGTATTCAAGGGGACTATTTTGCACCCAGGGGAAATTTGACAATGTCTGGAGACATGTTTAAATTTCCCAGATGGCACAAATGATAAAAGCTCTTGATTGCTAAAGGTTGGCGATTTGAATCCACCCAGAAGTGCCTTGGAAGAAAGTTCTGATGATCTACTTTTGAAAGATTACAGCCATTGAAAACCCTATGGAGTACAGTTCTACTCTGACACATATGGTATCGCCATGAGTCAGAACTGACCTGAAGGCAATTGTTTTGTTTTTTTCATTTTGGAGATGCAATTGGTTGTCACAACCGGGAAAGGGCTGCTACTGGCATCTAGTTGGTAGAGGCCAGTGATGCTGCTAAACATCCTACAATGCACAGAACAGCCCCCACAACAAAGAATTATCTGGTTCAAAATGTCAATAGTGCTTAGGTTAAGAAACTCTGCTGTATTCTTTATGCACACATCCACAGACATCCTCCAAATGACTATTATCAGTGGCAAGAAAGCACATAATCTCAGATGCTCCCTGCTCCTGCTCCTCAAAGAGTCGCTAGTAATTCAGAAATCTCTTTAGTCATAAAGACTGTAAGGAATTATATATTTATCTGGAAGATTAAAGAACAAATACCATTTTAACCTTCTAAAAACTGATTATCATTAGGTATAATGCAACCTTTTAACTGTAAGTATAAAGGAAAGTGCTGATTATTTAAAGTAAATGGGACCAAAAGTCCCATGAATAATAAAAAACTTGGTTAATAGAGTATGACCAGAGAATAATGCGCTTGGCTTCTGTGGAGAAATTAAAGTACATGCTGTGAATTGGTATTAAGGAAATTGCATGAAAAGTTAGTCTCTTACGGCACTATGAGTCTGAAGAAGCAGCCTCAGGTGCACGATATATCACATTCGGTCTTTATCTCCTTTTTTTTATGACTTCTTTCACCTTGGATAACCCAGAAGCTCAGGCCTTGGAACCTTTTGGAAGGGTAAAGTATCTCACTATCGGCTCTTATTTTTGTCTGCTAACAGGCCTGACTTTTATTGCCAGGAGTTTGTTATCTCTTTCGCAGGAATTATTTTCAAACCTCAGCTTGCCTTACTTATTTTGTGGGCATAGACTGTGTTTAACAATTTTGAACATAATTCACTTCATACAAAATGTGCCCCTGAAAAGTTATACCTAAGTTGAATTTTTGTAAATAAAATATAACTTTTAAATCACAAGGGAAACTTGCCACTTAAGGAGTGTATGAGGCTAAACCTTTTTTAAGAGAAAAGCACCTTTTTGCAAAGTGGATCATTACTCCTTAATTTATCCTATCTTAAATCTCAATTTTTATATGTTGCCCATGAGTCTAGTCCAGTATTATACATAATGTTAATTTTTAAAATATCAGCTATGAATTTGGAAGTTTGAAAGTTGAAAAGAGTTTTCAAGCTATTGTTAAGAGTGTGAAAACTTCATTAACATGGGTTTGTTGACGTTTTGGGTGATGAGAAAGGGGGCCAGATACTAGACATATCTGAAAAAAGAATAGGCAGCATTGCTGAACCGATAACCATCTTGACCGCTTCCCCTCAGCAATAAGGTGGAAAAGAGTGGAAATGAGAGACTTGCAAGTTGTGGTTAAGAACATGGATTCAGGAACCAGATTGCCTGGGTTCACATCCCCGCCTAATGTGGCTTTAGGCAATTTACACAACTTCGCTGTGCCTCAATTTCCCCACATGAAAAATGAAGAACATTATCTACTCAGTGGGTCTGTTTTGAAAATTAAATAATATATGAGCTAATATGTGGGAAACACTCGGCTCAGTTTCGAATCTTGGATGGTGTGCGGAGCTCTCAGGCTAGGCGTTAAGAGGAAGAGACAGGCGGCGGGGCGCCGGCACGTTTCATTTCCATCTTTTCCGCATCCTTGTGAAGGAGGCATGGCTGTTTCTGCATAAAGTATACACAGAGAAAACCGAGGCTCAGCGAGGCCAGTGATTTGGACATGGGTCCGAGGACATTTCTTGGGAAGAGGAAGCCTATCCGCCGTGACCTGCCGCCTTCCGTCTGGATGGGAGCCCAGGGCACCAAGGTACGAGGGCTCGGCCCCATGGCAGACTTTGCGTTCCACCATTGAGCCGTGGCCCCCTGAGGCCGAGGGGTTGGCGGCGGACAGCCACGAGAAGCTTCCCAGAAGAGCGAGCGCCGTGGCCACACGCCTTTCCTTCCGGGTAGACACTGATCGTCGTACATGACACAAATATTTATGCGCGCCCGCTATGTGCTGGGCGCCGGGAATACTCTGATAAATCAGACTCGGTCCAGATTTCAAGCGGAGGGACCACTGGATGACCGGACTCTATACGCCACCAAGGATCCTCGCAGGAATGGAGGGAGGGGTGGGAGGAGCGGAGGCTTTCGCTCCGCCCCTCGCTTTCCGGGCTCACGTTTAAAGCCCCGCCCCTTAGGGGCGTTCCCGGCTGCGCCGTAAAGTAGGGACCACTCTTCGCTCCGTAACAGCCCGCCTCCATCATTACGGCAAGCCGCATTCCACCCCTCCAACATGGCGTCCCCCAGGTAAACAGTGCCCGTAGTTTCTACCCCAGGTGGCCGGGGGCAGTACTGAGCTGGGGCTGCTGTGTATCTAGTCCGGGCTGCAGAAAGCAGTAGTTAAAGTTCGTTTCAGGTCACGGATTCACGAAACCAACCTCCTGTCGGTCTGGAGTCGCCGCTTTCTTCTAGTCCCTGCAAGTTCCTCCTTTCCCCCTCGTTTGTTCCCGGCGCCACCCCCGGACACCCCTGGTCCCTCATCCTCCCAGACTCACACCATGAGCCTCCAGCAGCTGCTGTTGCGCTTTCCCCGTTCTCTTGGGGCCTTGAGTTCCCATCGTCGTCTGTGGTGGTCCCCATCTCTCGACACCATCTCCACCACGGTGGGCTCCTGGCGTGGCCAGTCCTCCAGATCCCGGGCCCATTGGAACCAGGTGGTATCAGAAGCAGAGAAGATCGTGGGCTATCCCACGTCCTTTATGAGCCTCCGCTGCTTGCTGAGTGACGAACTCAGCAACATTGCCATGCAGGTGCGGAAGCTCGTGGGGACTCAGCACCCTCTGCTTACCACAGCCAGGTGAGCTACTCCCTTTCCTGCCGACACATTCGCACCCAGATAAGTCCTTTTTCCTCCCCGGTACACCCATCCTTCTCTTACACTGGCGCCCGGCTTCTCTCTTTTTATCCCCTATTTCCCTCAGCCCTCCTGTATCTTCAGTGTTGTTTCCTCTAGCCCACTCTCCTTAATATCCTTTCCCGACTTGCTCAGCTGAGTGGATAAGTAGTTTATCTTTTGAGAAACGCTTGTATGTTTCTCGTGGTTTTGGTTCTTAACTGTTGAGGATAAAAATGCCTCAGTGATCTGTGGAGAAATCGAGCAGGGATGTGGGCTTACAGAGTAACTTTCTAGGAATGGTCTTTTAAAAGTGGAATGGATTTATTTTCGGTTCCGCACTCTTCAAGAGTTCATCTCCAGAAAGAGTGGGTGGCAGATAGGCTGAGGATAGAGAGTTCTTTGAAGTAGGAATTTGCCCAGTTAGTGGTCATTATCCTCTTAAGATGTTTACCACTTATGCTGGACTACTGCTGATTTTTAGAGATCACAGCTTTTGCTGACACTTAAAAATACAACTTTTTATTTGAACATAATTTCAAACTTACAGAGAAGTTGCAAGAATTAAAAATAGTACAAATAGAACACAATTTTGCACCCATTACTCAGATTCACCTACTGTGTGCACACACATATACACACGTACTATTCACATATGTATATATGTATTTGTTTAATCAGAATTAGTTGATGGTAGATTGCATACATCAGTACTTCAGTGCACATTTCTATCACATAACTACAATATAGTTATCAACTTCAGCACATTTAGTATTGATATAATGCTTTTATTTAATCTACCATGCTTATTCCAATTTTGTTAACTGACCTAATAATGTCCTTTATAAGCATTTTTCCCCCTTCAGTACAGGATGCAGCCTTGGATCAGGTATTATTTATTTGTCATGTCTCTAGTATCTTTCAGTCAGAAACATTTCCACAATCCTTTGCTTTTATGACTAGAGTAGGGGTTCTCCACTGGGGCCAATTTTTCCTCCCAGCAGACCTTTAACAATGTCTAGAGACATATTTGGTTGTCACACTGGGGGTGTGCTACTGGCATCTAGTGGGTAGAGACCAGGATGCTGTTAAATATCCTACAATGCCTTGACAGCTCCCCACAACAAAGAATTTATCTGGCCCAAAATGTCAGTAGCGCTAAGCTTGAGAAACTCTGGATTAAAATGATCTTTTTTTGTTTTCTTTTGTTTTTCATTAAACTTTAGTTTTGAGATAATTGTAGATTGACATGCAGTTGTAGGAAATAATATAGGGAGATCCAGTGTACCCTTTGCCCAGTTTCCCCCAGTGGTAACATTTTGCAAAACTATAGTACAGTATCACAGTGAGATACTGACATTGATACAGTCAAGGTACAGAACAGTTCCAGCACCTAAAGAATCCTTCATGTTGCCCTTTTATAGCCATGGTACTTGGTACTTCCACCTACCCCCATCCACTTGTTTTATTTTTTTTTAGATAACATACCTGGCTTTTTTTTTTTTTCTTCTTTCTTTCTTTCTACAAAAGTTACCAAATAGCAATACTAAAGTTATTTTACTTCTTGACATTGTTCCCAGTTATTAGGAATGTCACCTTATAATTGGGCTAAAATTTGTCCTGTGCAGCTGGAATGTTAGTTCTCCGGATAGTCTAACACAAACACTAAAACATTTCATATATATATATTGCTTTAAAGCTAAGTTATAAAACTGAAGAGTCCACCACCCAACTTAAGAACTATAACTTTACCAATTCTGTTGAAGCTATCTGTGTTCTTAGTCCATCTTCCTGACCCCCACTGTGCTGAATTTTTTTTTGTTTAATTTTCCCTTTTTCAATTACATGTGTGTTTTCCTAAACAATAATAACCTGTTGTATTTGGTCTTCTGTGACTAGTTATTTTTTTGTGTTTTTTTTTTCTTTTTTTTTTTTTTTTGAGAAAAGGCATTGTGGGGTCTTTGTTTGAATTTTTTTTTTTAATTATTGTGAAAATATACCTACCAAAACCTTCACCAATACAACAATATCCACATTTACAGTGACATTGATTACATTTTTCATGTTATGCAACCATTATCACTATCATTTTCCAAAATGACTAATTTTTAGACATGACACCAAAAGATCATGCATAGAAGAAGAAAAGATTGAACTTCATCAAAATTAAAAAAGACTTTTGGCTTGCAAAAGACCCCTTTCCCAGGATGAAAAGATGAGCCACAGACTGGGAGAAAATATTTCCAAATCACATATCTGAAGGACTTGTGTCTAGAATATGTAAAGAACTCTCTAAATTCAATGGCCAGGAAACAAACTATACAGTTAGAAAATGGACAAAAAGAAAAGGCTATAAGGATAGCAAGTAGGCATATGAAAAGATGTTCAACATTATTAGCCAATAGGGAAATACAAATTAAACTATGATGAGATACCACTACATACTTATTGTTGTGTTGTTGTTTTAGCTGACCTCTAGTTGGCCCATGACTCATTGTGACCACATGCACCGCTGAACTAAACTTTGCCTGGCCCTGCGCCATCCCCGCGATTGGTTGTTTACCAGACTGTTGTGATCCATAGGGTTTTTGTTGGCTGATTTTTTTAAGTAGCTCGCCAAGCCTTTCTTCCTAGTCTGTCTAGTATGTATAATAGGTATGTATGGAAGCTCTGCTGAAATCTGTTCAGCATCATAGCAGCACACAAACCTACACTGACAGATGCGTGCTGGCTGTGCATGAGGTGCATTTGTCAGGATTTGAACCCGGCTCTCATCCATGAAAAGCAAGAAATTTACAATATCAAGTGCTGGTGAAGATGTAGAGAAATTAGATTTCCAATACATTGCTGATGGGAATGTAAAATGGTACAGCCCCTCTGGAAAATGGGTTTGGCAATTTCTTCTTAGGTAATTAAACATATGCTTATACCATACAACCCAGAAATCACACTCTGGAGCACTTATTCCAGAGAAATGAAAACTTATGTCCACGTCAAAACCTATACACAAATGTTCATAGCAACCTTGTTTATAATAGCAAAAAACTGGAAATACCCCAAATGTTCATCAATGGGTGAATGCTTGGACAAACTGTGGTGTATCCATATGATGAAATGCTACTCAACGATAAAAAGAAATGAACTGGTGATACATGTAACAACTTTGATGAATCTCAAGGGAACTACGCTAAATGAAAAAACTCAATCTCAAAAGTTTGTATTCTGTGTGATTCCATTTATATAACATTCTCAAAATGATAAAACTATAGAGATGGAGAACAGATTGGTGGTTGCTAGGATCAGAAACAGGGCCGGGGGCAGGGAAAGGTGCAAATACAAAATGGTATATTGTGGTGATGGTACAGTTATGTATTTTAATTGTGATGGTGGTTGAATGAATCTATACATGGGGTAAAGTTGCATAGAACTATACACACATGAATGCAGGTTAAAAAATGCTGAAAACTGTATAAGGTCTGTAGTTAACACGAATGTGCCAATATCAGTTTCCTGGTTTTGATATTGTACTACAGCTATATAAAATGCCACCATCGGAGAAGCTGGATGAAGAATACATGGGACTCTTAATATTGTTTTTGCAACTTTCTGTGAGACTATATTATTTTTAGAAGTTAAAAAAAAAAAAAAAAAAACCCAACCCTCCTAATCCCACTTTAAAAAAGAGAGAGCATGGCAGGCCTGGGAGACAGGAGACCTGTGTGTTCTAGTGTCAGTTGTTAGCAGGTAACTTAACTGTGGGAGCCCAGGCAAGCCATTTAATCTCTCTGGGTTTTAGTTTCATAAACAATGAAGGTAAGGAGTAAAAACTAGATGATTTCTATAGGTGTTGCTAATTCTAGAATAGTTTAAAAATTAGTATTGTAATTGAATGTGGCACGTAATGGAGCCATTGTCGATTCTCAAGCAGAGAGCAACCAGAGTGAAAGCAATATGGTAATACAAGTCTATAGTCCTTTTCCCACAATTTAAAAATCCTAAAAGCTCAGTAAATGGGATTTTTTTTCAAACTCGTAAATTTGACCTGACTGATGTGAGATTATTTACAGTCTTTCTTTATCCCACTTAATGTGAATATTGATGAATTTTGCTGAGAAATATTCATGAGTTTGATTACAGAGCTGCCTCAGATCCTGCTGGAGTGTTGAGTAAAATGCATCTTTTTTAAAACCAGAAAAATTTTGAATTCTGGAAGACATTTGACTTCAGGGGCTTTGGCTGAGGGATTATGTACCTGTCCAAGCTGGACGGTGGTACGTAGGAAGGGGTAGAAGCTGAGTTATGTGATGTAGGTTGGTAGTGTGGGAAAGGCTGGAGGAGTCCACAGTGTATCAACCACCACTTCCTCCCAGTGCAACTTGCACCCTATGGTTTCATTATTGCCTCACTGATTAAATGTGATTATTCACTCGTGCATAATATATAATTATTTTTAATCATTAAATGTTTCTGTATAAATCATTTTTTTAATTTAAGTACTTAAAAAAATTTTAGCTTTTGTTAACTCACTTCATATACTATCTACTGTCAAGAACTTACAAGCTTTTAACAATTATATGGAGAATGCTTAATTGTTCCAAAGGTAATGACTAATATTTTATATAGCCAATGTATAGAACATATAGAATTGGTTAATTTTTTGTTGATGCTGTTTAAACACAGCTAATTTCTTTGAGCAATACAGAATATTTATTTTCATCGATTACTGGCTCTGGGGATTAAATTTTTATTTAAATACCCTGTCTTTTTCCTTTACCTTCAAACACTCTGATCTCTATTTCAGATTGAGATAGATGGGATTAATTTAGTATGCAGTTATTGGAGAAAAATTATGACATTTAGACTCTTCTTTTAGGGAGTATTGATTCCTTGGTAGAGGCTTTTTGTTCCCAGCTGAACTCACTGCAGTTATGTGGCTACCTAAAAAACTGTTAGTCTTTTCTGCA